GAAGTAATTTATGTGATCGCGTGTTTGCAGCGAAATTCATGCCAGAATCGACACCACCGCCTCCACCACCCTATGGCTACCCGATGCCAGGTCAGATTCCGGGTGCAGCTGTTCCGGCTGCAGCACCAGCCGCTGCATCAGGAGGTGCATCCGGCGGAGCAGGCGGTGCAAGCGGATCGCAGACCCCTGGCGCAGCGTTAGTTGGCAATTTGAACGGCATTCACAGCGTGATGTAAAAAGGAAAGAAAGGAAAAAAGAGAGAGAGAGAGAGAGAGAGAGAGAGAAAAGCGAAATACACACTTGTCCGTACCATACCGTATCGCAATAAGAATTTTCCAAGCTAATCTTAAGCAAGCAACGTGAAATCTATCGACGTAAGAAACTAAATAACAGAGTATTTAAAAAAGATAAGAAAAACTAAAGGAATATTCCGATCGTTAGACGCGTGTCCACGTATCCAAAATTCAGATCCCGCAATCGGGGCAGGTTTCTTTTCGAAAATAAAGGAGGCATTTCGAGTCTCGAAAATCGGTGAAATAAACGTTTGATCGAGGAACAGCTAACGCGTTAACTGCCGCGATGCAATCCACGAAGATGAGAAAAAGAATGAAATGGAAAAACAAAGTGAGTATAATAATCGATTTGCTGTAGGTGTTCTCCGTTTCGATCAGACAAGCGTTATTGTTCTTTTCGACTGGTAATACGTACGATCTAATCGAAAGCTTCTAAAAGATGAATTGAATGATGAAAAAACGCGTGGCGCATACCATTATTAGTTCCTCCTTGCAGTTTGTGTATTCGAGAAGTACGCTGCAGAAAAATTGAAAAAGAGAATAAATCGCCAGTTTCGTAAATAGCTTCTAGGGACAGTCTCTGTTTGTTACTATTCACTTCCTGCTCTGGTGGTGAGCATTTAGAGAACCGATAGGGAAGTCGATCGAACCATCCTGAACGTTTATCCCGTAAAAAGAAGATAGCGGTCTGTCTGTAGGTATAGATTTCTCTGTATATTGCCGACTAACTGGAAATTGAACTCAATTCGCGTAATCCTCGTATGGTAATCCTGGCGGAAGAAGAGAGTTAATAAATGGGAGAACGAATGAAGAAATACGAGGGAGGACGATGTTCGCGTGTCGGTGGACGAACATGTGTATCTACATATATACGTGTAAATGTACATAAATTATTACGAATTATCGATGTAAGATTGAACTATACATATAAATAATATAACTTATAAATAGTAGGTATCACGAGTAAAAGAAAAATTATAAGAAAGAAACCGACAGAGAGAGAGAGAAAGGGAGAGAAAGTGAGAAAGAGAGAAAGAGAGATTGCTAGCGTTAAATTTTATTATTCTTCACTTTTTAGCACTGTTCATAAATATGAAGATTAGCAATTGTTATTCCGAATGAAAATTAACAAGTGTATCCAGGAGGATAATTTTCGCGTTGATTACGTTCGTTTGGACGTTACTTCTTTGCAGACCCTGGTTTCACCGATTCGAGTATATACTTCAGCTTTAACCACAATTAACTTCGTTGTCTTAGTTTTTTCCTCTGTGCTGCACTATTTTCTGTGAGTCGATTTTAATAAAGAAAGATGGTAATAAGTCATGATACAGGAATGGAACGAAGTAGTTTCGGACAGAAAATTTTGACCATAAATGCTCCCTTTTTTGCCAATGAACCACACTTCATTATTAGACTGCGGACTTTCATGCGTTTATGGGAAATTTAAAGATACAAAAATACATACAGTGCACATGGTATGCAAGAATACGTCAAACATCCAAAATAGAATATTTATTACAATGTTAAATGGATTTATATTCCGTTCCTTTAGTTAGGTTCGTAAAAATATAAAAAAATGCACGAAAATCTGCAGTCTATTCATTATAATCGTCGCACTAACGAAAATATTTGCCGATTTTTTAAAGATCAATGGAATTCTCGACAATTAGATTATTTGTAACATAGTACACTCCCTCAGAAACAGTAAGTTACGAACAAAGGAGAAAGCATTTACGGATAGAGATTTGATAAAGATTTTCTATTATTTTTATGTGTGAAATCGCACCTAAGAGAATGCTCAGTGTGTTTAGTGACAATGCTATATAATATCTGAATCCTCGATTGTCGACGACACAACTTTTTGTTTCTTCATGAAACAAAAATTTATGAAACAAAGGAAATGTTTCGATCATTAAGGATCAGTAACTCCACTGATAGAAATTTTTTTTTCTTAATGCAACTGACAACTTCTCAATGTTCTTCTCTTTATTGGCCTAATCGATTAGGATTTCATCCCACTTCGTTTATCATGAAAAATCGTTCGATTTCCATAGCTGATTAAGACGATTGTAGAAGATACGATTATTGATTCTCTTTTTAAACTATGCGACTACGCTTGTATATCTATGTGTATACACGGTATACTACGTAACTAGATGTTCCACACCGAAAAAACGTAATCTATGTACGGGAGAATGGAATGGAAAAAACATTTCTTTTAATAGAAAACGACTTTAATCACATATTAAAAAAAAAAAAGAAAAAGAAACGCAAAGAATTTGCAAAGGTTGCAATCAAACAGATTTATCGAAAAGAAACCGTAACTTATAGAGGTAAGATTACTCATTTTGCTACATCATTGAAATACGAGTCAAGATTTCAAGGTTTAACAAAACGTTTCCCCCTGAATTACTATAAGAATCGATCTCTCGAGGCATACCTTCCTTGCTCAAGATCCAATTAAATTAACCACCCGCCCAATAATCCTCCCTTTTTCTCCGAGATGCTTATTACTAATGTCCACGAATCGAAAAACAATAGAGAAACGATTATTTAAGACGTTTGTAAGTATATGATGAGAATAATTATACATACTACATAAAAAAAAAGACGCTTCACCACATAGGCAGTTTAATGCATTATTACGAGGTATAGAGGTACGATTAATAATCGCGATAATTGATTCAGTTGAGCGTCATTCAATTTACTGAACGAGAAATCTATGTTCATCTAGTTTTAGATGTTACTGTATATTAGCCTTAATAAATAAACACAATTATGGAAAAAAATCAAAATTATTTGTGAATATTTTATTACGTTTATCCTATGAATATATCTTGGAGGATATTAAATTTTGTGATATTAAAAAGTTCAAAACTTAATATTATAATTAAGATATTTTTTATATCCGCAATATTTTTTTTAATCTCGGGGTTCAATTTGTAGTAACTACGCTCCTGATACCAATGAAACGATTTCAGCGCCGCGTAGCGGTCGACTCTTCCATTTGTTGATCGTTTGTAAACATGGCTCCGGTGAGTTCTCTACTCGCGAAAAATATAACAATAATTCGAAAATAATTAAAAATTTACCAAAACTCCACTGAACATATAAAACGGCATGTTATAGTCTTCAATTCTGATATAATTTTATTTGAATTTTCGAAAAGATTGCGAAGATGTCGTTGGATGTAAACTTCCAGCACATCTATTAGATGCTAACACATGTGTCTACAATAAATGTAGTTTTTTAATTAAAACAATTTCAAAATGTGGATTTATATATTTTTCAGCCAACTATGAAGAAGTCTAAAGGATTGGCTATCAAAAAACAAGCCCTTCGAGGTAAGGGTCAGAAGAAAAAAGTATCCCTTAAATTCACTATTGACTGTACACATCCAGCAGAAGATAATATCATGGATGTAGCCAATTTTGTGAGTATTCCTTAAATTGCTTCCGTATTCTTTATTTTTCAATTCTGTCCCGAAGACAGAATCTTTTAAACTTGTGTTTTTATGCTAATTTTAATGTAACAATATAATCTTAACCTCACATTCTATATCAAAGATTGTAAAAATATGTTTGTAAAGTTCATACAGCTATAAATAATGGTATTTTATATTTTTTAGGAAAAATACCTACATGAAAAAATCAAGGTTTCAGGGAAGACGAACAATTTTGGCAATAGTGTAAGCTTAGAAAGGGATAAAATGAAACTATCCGTTAACAGTGATATTGACTTTTCCAAGCGGTGGGTATTGTCCAGTATAT